CCTGGGGAGAAGCTCCTGATCTGTGACCTCCTCTGGTGGCACCTTCTCAAGCTTCTAATCAGCATGGCTATGGCTTAACCCCCAGGAGCCACACACACAAAGGATGCAAACCTGACATCTGGGCCTGACCTCCCTGTGACAAACAGCAATTCCTCCAAGGAATGAAGTCTCCAGGGACTGTCCTTAGGGTCATAGTGCGGTGTGGCTGGCGACTTCACCTCTTCACATGTCACAGGGAGGCACCTACATCTGCCCAAAAGATCATCTGAGCTCCACCTCCAACCCAGTGCCTTGTCCACCAGAAGTGAGGAAGGAGGTGGGACTAGCATAATGAGGGACGATGCCAGGCTGTCCTATCCTTGGGGACCTAAGGATATAAAGGTAGGCTAGAAAGACAGCAGGAAACCACCCCTTCTCCATCTGTCCAGAAGGGCAAGCTCATTCTTGATTCGCTTCTGGCCCTCAGTTCCCCAGAGGCAGGGAGCGTGAGCCTCAGTGTGAGGGAACTGTCCCTTCTTCAGTGGCTTCATCACAGACTGGGCCTTGTTACAGTGAACATGCATCCCAGGGAGGTCAGGAGCGGTGTGTGGGTCTGGCCATCTCCATGTTCGCTGGACATTCTCACTAACCGCCTGGAGAACAGCCTGCTTCTTTTCAGGAAGTAGGTCACCACATTTCTCATGGGAAGTACGTTTAAAGGGCTCTGTCCTGATTGATGACTTCAGTTTCTTGATCTCTGTTCACAGCAGACAGCACTAAGTGGGGGTGGGTGGGGGGACCAGAGGATGCCACAGATCGAGAACTGACTCCCAGCTTCCCAGGCCTTACTGTGGGCACAGGAGGGAGCAGGCATCTGCTGGCTGTCAAGAAGTTACAACATGCAAAGTAACTGTATGTTTCCATGAGGCGTAACTGGTTCTGATGGTATGTTCCCCTCAGTTCTCTGTGGTAAAACACTACTTCATGCAGCAGGACACAGTCCCCTGTAGCTCTCCAGGGAGATAACTGGTGAAAGCAGCCAAGGTCCCCATGAGAAGTCAGAGTTGGCACTAAGGTGTGTTCAGGGAGTCATCCTAGCAGAGGGTGCAGAAGGCCTGCACACCAAGGCTCTCAGTATGCCAGGGGTCAAGGACATAACACAGGACAAGAGACCCCAAAACACAGTTCTAGTCCCAGGTGCCGTGTGCGGCCTTAGCAAATCCATGAGGTCTCTGAGCTTCAGTTTCCTCAACTGTAAAGCTAAAGATTTGAACCAGATCAGAGGTATGAAGAGTCCAAAGGTTCATCAAATGTTTAATTCTAATTTCATTTTTTAAATGCACCTTAACTATTTAAAAATTTGTCCTCAACACAACACCCTCTACCACATTTGCTGTTACTAAATTCTAATACCCTGAGGCTGCCCAGCACATGAACATGGGTGACCAGAGTAACTTGTCATTGGGTGGTCTTCATAATAATGCTTATCCTGTTATCTGCCTAGTCAAAGAATTTCTTACAAGTATAAGAAGAGCTATCTTTAATAACAATTGCCATCTGCATCAATGATCTGAAGGAATGTGGATTTTTCTCAAGACAGTGCAAGCAGAATGCTGATCTGGACTGCAAGTGCCACTCAGATTTGTGCCATGCAAACAGGCTCATCGTCCTTACTGAGCAGACATTTAAACATATATTTGCATTAACAGAATGGTATTTATATCAGCTTTTTTTTTTTACTGATGTATTAGGGTGGAGGTTGGGATTCCCATACCCAAAATGTTTGAAAACCAGCAGCCAACGTGATCCTGTCTGTACTATGAGTGTCTAAGCAAGCTGGTCCTGGTCCCTATTGCACTGGAATCCCTGTTACAATCTGTTTCTGCCACTATGATGTTAATGATTCCTAATAACATGGGACTCAGGGCACTTTTATGCTATAGGAGACCAGAATATATGACAACCCAAAATATGCCTCTTTGGCAAAAGGATTATTTTGAGCTGATTATTTTGAGAAACTGCAGACACCAGAGAAGCTTTGCAAACAGAGTAGGAGTTTCCCTTCTGTAAGAGAAATTTACATCTATAAAGGGAATCTCCATTTGGAAGGGTGTGGTCCTCTCTGTGCCAGGAAGAGAAGGGTGACTGAAGCAGCAGAGACTCCTATCAGTGGAGAACCTACCTTGCAAACCTTGCCCTATTACCTGTGCTTTCCCCATACCCTTCATCTTTGACACAGAGTGCAATGGTATTTAAACCTGCGGTCTAGCCTCCTCTTTGAGAATTACTCAATTCTCTGGTATCTCCCAGGTATACATGAGGTATACTTGTTATTAACCTTCTGTTTCTTTTTCTCTTGTTAATCTGTCTTTTGTTACAGGGGTCCATCCCAACTCAGAACTATGAAAGGTAAGGACAAATTATTTTTTTGTCCCCTACAATATACATTATCTGAATTGACCTGAACATGACCCCAATGAGTGGTTCTTGAGCTGGAAGATCTGGGCATGGAGCCACTACCTGGACCTGCTGCTCCTTTGCAACTTTCCTCCACTTAGGAAACTCCTCCTCTTCCTTCTCCTCTGGATGTAATTGACCAGAAGAAGGACTGAATCAAAAGAAAGACACATGTATATGCACGTGTGCTCCAGGTGGGGACAGGGCCAGCTTATATGCAGGACT